ACAACATTTATTCAACGTTTCTGTTGTAAAAACTTACAACAAACATAATTATACAATATATCTGTCAGTTAACAAAAAAGACCATGTAAAATTACACAACAAACAAAACAAATTACACAAATACTGTTTTACAAATGAATTAACAGTATTAAACTTGAATTTAACAGTTTAAACTATTCAATTAACTGTTAATATCTGCGATTTTTAAAAATCTTTAAATCTTTAAATTATAGATTTGCAAACATTATTATATATTTTTTTTATGTTTTAACTGCATTTCCTTGATGTGTGACGTGTTTAGCTGCATAGTGTCTTCATACTTTTGGCCTGTAGTGTCTGTCTTACCAACCTGTCTGTCTCTCTCCTCAGTGACCTCCTGGAGGATTTAGAGAGGAGTCCTCACGCTGCAGCCATCGCCGAGTGCTTCGTAGAGAGGGTGAGTAGTGTGTGAGTGTGGGGGGGAGGACTACAGGGGGACATTTGGGGGGGTGGAACAATCCCAAAATGTCAGATTTCTTTCTTTCTAGAAAATTTAGATGCATGTTGAGATGTTTTTTGGCTTTTTTTGGCAATAAACTTGCAGGCGAAAGTGAAATAATCCATTAAACACTGAAGCCAACTGGTTCCACTGAGACAGGGATCAGTTGAACTTCCTGGAGGGAGTGCAATGTGCTTCTTCTGCCATGCATTTCTATATTTAGATTATGTGTAAACTTACTATTGATGTAGGACTTCATCACTAATTCACTTTAAAAAGGATAAAGATATTCTTACCATCACCACAGAAGTGTGACGGCCCAATATCATTAACTTTAGATCAGAAAATATCAGAAAACAGTAGAAAAAGAGTGCGTTTGTGTGTGCAGATGTGTGTGTGTGTGTGTGAGTGTTGTGTGTGTGTGTGTGTGTGTGTGTGTGTGTGTGTGTGTGTGAGTTGTGTGTGTGTAGACAGGGAGCAGTGAACCCAGACACCCAGTAAACCAGCAGCAGCAGCAGAACTGGACCTCCATTCACTGCAGTTATTCCACGACTGACCAGCTACTGCTGATCAAACCGACACCCACTGAATACAGTGTGTGGTGTGTGTGTGTGGTGTGTGTGTGTGTGTGTGTGGGACAGTACTGATATTGTCCTCACATGTTACAGCAGTCCGACTGTATGAAAATGTTTTCTGACCTCAGGGTCGTGATCAGATCTCCGTCACATGAACAGCTGATGTTACGTTGTGTTAAACGAGTATTATAGCTGGAAACAATTCGTTTTATAGACATACAGAATCCTATTTTAAGCTTCCATCAGTCCAGTGTCACACTGTGTTAGTTTATCGTGTTTAAAGGCTAATTGATCGTTAGGAAACAGCTGAAAACTGTTGCTGATTAAATAAGATACAATTACTTAATTGCATTCGTGGTTGATTTATAGTCATGAACGGACCAGAAAAAAACAACGTACAGCAGAAAATGCAGAGCTCATATAAAAGTTTGTGCTTTGTACAACAGCAGAGGTCAAGTACATCAGTTATAAAATTTGAGAAACAGACTTCTTTAAATGGTGCCCAGCAAAATCATTATTTCTAACCTCATCAATGTCTTCATTGTATTTTCTATTCATTCATTTGATGATTGAAAGTGTGAGTTTTTGTGGGTAGTATGTGTCTCTGTATATATACGTCTCTCAGTATTGTTAACTAGCAGATCTGACCGGCGCAATATGGCGGCCACGCAGATATCTCTGTTTCTATATCTGTTAGTGACATCCTGATCTTCTCCCCCAGCCGTCAGATCAAAATCGAACATGTAGATTGATTTTATATGTGCTTCATATCTAAATTATCTTCTCAAATACATTTAAATTGATATACTTCTGTGCTGTATTTTAGTTACAAAACTTTTCCGTGTCAAGAAACCCGACAATAGATGCACATTTGACATCAGAGCCCCAATTTGAGAGGATTTCCGAGGTTCCCTGAAGGTCACATCGGATCAATCTGAACATTTTTTTTCTTATTCAGGAGGTTTTGATGTTTGTTCGGACTTCCTGTTTCAGAGCGGTGGACATTAGATTAAACTGTTAGTTATTTTGGGACCTTGTGTGAGCGTCTAACACAGTGCCGTCTTTCTCTGCGACCGCCTGACTGACAGGAAGTGACAGTGAAATAGGATTAGAAGGCGGCAGGCAGGCGGGCGGGGAAGGACAGCCGTGATTCCACCTGCACACAGACTGCAGATAGAAACCTCAGTCTGGTACAAATGATCCATTAAACAGCTGCAAACACTGTGAAAAGACTGTGGTTGATATCAGGATTAACGTCACATCCTCTGTCGGGTAAATTATCTGAATGAAGGTTTGGTCGTAGAGACCTCTAAGGTGTCAGAGGAGGTGGAGAAGATGGCGGTAATCCATCTATGAGCTGGTTTTCTGACCAAAAAATGATGAACAAACACATAGAAGTTGTATTTTATGACACTAAACTTGCTGAACCTCCACATGTCAGTTCATATCAAAACTTCTGTTGTCATGGAAACTTGCTTTGTTGCTGGAAACACCGTCGAAGGATGTCGGATTGGGTTCGATTTTTATGGCCAAGAATTGTTAAAATCGACTGGATTCAGAAGATTTTGACTATAACAACGGCTGCGTGCTCCTTTAAACCTCTCTGAAAACACGTCTCACCTACGACAGAAATAGTCTACAGTCCAAAGAAAAGGAAGTGTTGATCCATCGAGCCAGATCAGCAGGACCAGCTTGGCAGGTGCTGCTGCCCCAGGAGGAGAGGAAGAGACCCCAATAGGAGCTTGAACAGCTTCTGACTAATCTCCAGTTTTTGGACAAAATTGGACTCAAACATCAGGAAATCAGAGATTATTGTGCCCACATCCTTTACAGACACCTGCTCCATCAACATCCCGGATCAGCACTCGATAGGCGGACTGTAAGTCCAGGATGAGAGGAGGCGGACTCTGCTTACAGCGTTGATGTTTGGTGCTCAAACGCAGACTGTATGGACACTGTTTGTTTTTATGTGCAGATGAAACCAGATTATTATCACCATCTTGTTGCTGCTGTTCACATTCAACCAGACGCAGATTAAAACGGGGGATTGGAGGTGCAGTAACTAATTTTCCATGCTTATATAAACTTCAGTATACTGATAATATATAAGATACATATAATTATAATATTGTTTATTTTTACTTTCTCGTCTGTTGTTTATCAATTCATTCAATTCAAATTTTATTATGGTATAGCGCCAAGTTCATACAGAAGTTATCTAGGCACTTTTTCAAATGGAGCGGTCTGACCAAACTCTTATAACATTTACGGAACCACGGTACCACCATTGGCAGCACTTTGCGCGACGGGGAGCGGGCAGGAACTGCTTTTATACAGTTTCGAACCTCGCAGCCCTTCGGCTCTACCAGCGTGGAGGTATCTGCCTTTGACAGTTGGGGAGAAAGGAGAGAGGAGAGGAGAGAGAAGAGAGGACAGGAGAGGGACAGAGTCAGAGGACAAACGATGTCCGGCAACAACGAAGCACACTTCATAGCGAATAATGTCGGATGCGGTTGGATTATCTCTTTATTGTTGTGCTAGGCATGAAGGAACTTTAAATTTAGCTTTTTAATTTTGTGTTGCTCAATAATAATCCATTTCTTGATGTCGTGTTTTAGTATAATATCATTTCATTGTACATTTCCAACATTCTTTGTTATCACATGTTGCCTATAAATACTTTACTTGAGACATCAAACCTTGTCTCAGGGGTGTACGGAGTACAATAGACAGGCAGGGTACAAGTAATGTATAAACCTGTGTTCACCGCTGGCCAGCAGCTTGGGAAATACTGAATGGAACTGTGAGACATTCAGATAGAAGAATACAAACCAGTGAATATCCGTGAGTTTATGAGTTTGTTTCGCTGAACTTTCCACAAAATATGTTTCTCTTCCTCTTACTTTAACTTCTGGTCTGTCTTTCGAGGTGAAGCCTTCGGACATTCCCACTCTACTGCATGAACTTACCCCAAGTAGTATCCAGTTTAACTAACTTTACCCACTCTGGGATTCCGCGTGTGTTACAGCCCACTTGAGTTTCCCTACCCCATTAGGGGCGCAAGCTTTCACAGGGGGTCTTGAAGGCCTTCTTGATTTTGAAGGGGTGTAGAAAGCTTTAAAAAATTTAGATTTTTTTGGTGTTGAAACTAATTTCATTTTTTTAGGTTTAGATCCAGGTTGTTTTCACACGCGCCTCACTCTGAAACTGTTTACATAGCCTTGTTCCTGCCTAATCGCCTAATATGTAATGCTACCAACAATGGAGAGAAAACACTGAAAAAGCTGTTAAGTCATTCATAGGAAATATCTGCTCACATTCATCCAAATCTCTGGTTTTACCAAACGTCCTGAGTTCACTGTTTGGAGTTCATTGGTTCGTTTATTTATTTTTCTCTTCGTTGGAATATAAAATGAAATAATCCAATATATGTCACTTCTTCAGCGTCGTCCAGGTTTTATCATGATCGAAAAAGGGAAAGGTTGGGACCAGGGAAATGTAATTAATGGTTTAAACGAATAATACACAGTGGTTTTCTATATCAACTACAAACTTAAAAGAACATTTTTAACTGAACAAATCTAAACGACGTTCGAGGCGGCGGAGTTGCTGATAACATGGACGTGAGTTCGACCACCGAAGCAGAGATGTGTGAGATCGTTTTTGAGGAGGAGTACGTGTTTTAGAGAACATTAAGTGAAAGGAGAAGGGAGAGAGAGGAGACGGCACACAAGACCACACCACACCAACTAACTGATCGGGATGTTTGGCTTTAGTCTGTGTGTGTGTGTGTGTGTGTGTGTGTGTGTGTGTGACAGCATCTTACTAAATATTGGTTTTGATACTGACACAAAGTCGTGAATTTCCACAACTGGATGATTTTTGATTCTCGAGTGAAACAAACTGAAAACAGTCGCACATCGGTTTTTATTTTTCTGCACATGCTCGTTTTTCTGTTGCTGTGATACGTGCACCGTCCCAGCTTGGCATCATTGCCACGCCTGTGCATCTCCTCTCTCCTCCAGATGCGTCTTAGGGTTGAGACGCCTCGCTCAGATCGATTTCCAGGTCAGAAAGACAGAAAGAGCTTCAGTCCTGCAGAAAGAGAGAAGCTGGCGGTTGCAGCAGAAAGTCCAGTTCAGTCAGAAACCTGTATTTAAGCAAGTGACCGCACACTCAATGACTGGCAATGAGCAGCGCCGCCATCAACCCGCCATCAACCCGCTCTTATAAAGTACCAGAGCTTAAAAACTCTCAGTACAGCAGCAGTCTGTTTCTCTCTCTCTTCACCCTCTTTGTTTTTCTATGTAGAATCTGCTAATCTCACTCCATCTCCTCATCAATCTGACAGACAGATGTTTGGCCTGAGTGTGTGTGTGTGTGTGCCTACATCTTTCTGCATGTTAATACACTTAAATCACTGCAAATGTACACAGCTAAAGCCTTCATCACCATCCATACGTGTGTGTGTGTGTGTGTGTGTCCTTCAGTGTACCCGGTCCGTCAGTTTCCATCGGCAACCCTTCCGTCACCTCGCTGCTCTCTGCCTGTCGCCTCCTTAAAGCTCCATTAAACTCCAATAAAAATAAGTAGGTCAAATGCTTTCAGACCACCAAACTGAAACCCTCTCTGTGTCGCTGCTTCTCCTGCTGGACCCTCTCCGGCCACACGGCTCCAAACTCTGACTTATGCTGCGTGTTGGGTTCAACAGTTGTAGGCAGGATGTTAGTTTCCCAGAGTGAGTCAGAACACTTCTCACTATTAGGTAATCGATCAGCAAATCAGAAAACCAAACAACCAACCAGTAAAATCAATGCTAATCAAAGCTATGTTTTATTCATGTCTTCAAGTTACGTTTTAAGTTATGTCAGGTACATAAAGTAAGTTTTTCTAATCCTAACCAAGTAGTTTTTCCATTTCACAACCACGCAAGCTTTATTTTGAAAGTGTAACCGGACATCACATATTTATTGATACTAACGTGTCCAGAAATGGAAGTGGCGTCATATTTTGAAGCGGGGGTGCTGAGCTGCAGTGTTTGAGGAGTGAGACTGTGTTTGTCAAACAGGCCAGTGTTCATGTACATGTGTGTTAGTTTAAAGCAGATTCACAATGAGACAGTAATGTAATCACCAGAAGACAGTTGGTCTCCGTCAGACTCTGCTCCGCATTTTTCCGCTGTGATCCGCTGGGTCAGATTTGGAGGGAAATCTGCTGGATTGCAGGATTGTGAACTCCAGTGCAGCCCCACTGGGAACACGAGCCGAGAGTCTTTGTTTGGTTTGTTATCCAGCGTCAAAAGAGAAATAACAAAATGGCTCCAGGAATGCGGCCTCATTGCCATCTGAAATTGCCAGCAGCAGAACGAGAGAAGATCTCTCTCTTTCACAAATATCATAAGACGTTGTATCAGCGTAATGTATCATGAAATAGGTTGCCATTAAAACGACATTACCAGACGTGCGTGTACTCTCAGTAGGTAGATCCAGAGGGAGCGCTGAGGCAGATGCTGAGCTAATTTATGCTGCTTAACTCCACTTGGATGCGAGCGCTGTTTGTAATGTTGTAAATTGATGAGCTGCAGAGCCAGGGGGGCTTTGGAGGCTGGGCGGGGGTGACGTCTTTAAAAGCCAAGTTTTAACAGAACGGGGAAATATTCCAGTAATGGTCACACTGTCTGAAAGTGAAAGTATATCTCAGAGTGCAGGTTAGTGAGTTTACATCAGAGCCTATGTGGGGAATTTTAAACATGTTGTAATGTTCACGCGGTCATCTCGGGTCGAGGTAGTTGAGCTGCGATTGGCTGAAAGTCAAAAGTCTCCATCTTACCGACAGAAAAACAAAATGGAGGAAAGCCTCGAACAATTATTGTGACCAAAATATGAGGCTTGGTTTGTGGAGCTTCTCGTGATTAGTGTAATGAACATCAAGTATTTATGTGATCAGGAGCAGGAAAGCACCCCAAAACTGAACATTTTGGAGAGAAAGAGAGAGGGAATGGTACATTATAATCATCATTATCATCACAAGAATGAATCATAATTTTATATTGTTTTCTTTCGTTTAAATAAACAACAGAACTTCATATTTCTACATATCCTGATGGTTCATGCCAACATGTTCTCACTTCCAGATTTGTTTATTGCTCAGATAATTCGACCTTCGAACAATATATAAACTGTCAAACATTTAAAGTACAGCTAAATGTATTAATATGAATAAATACAAAATATGTGACCAATTCACATTTAAAATAAACTTATACATTCCCTTTATAAGTTTTGAGGGGCAGGCAGCCCAAGCTGTTACTATAACGTCTGAGTATCCTGGAGAAACTGACGCCAAAAGGTTTACTCCATTAACAGTTTTTTAAGTTATGTAAAGTAAGTTTTATTCATGTACTTACGTAGATATGAGAGTGAATGAAGCGCTCGCTTTAACTGGGATTGAGATGCCTGCTATTTTCCCAGTAAGAATGAAGTCAAATCACATTTCTGTAACATCGTATTGAGCTTACATACATACATACTGTCCATACTTTATTACTGAATCAATAAGCAGTATTATTTATTAATGTAAACTTATATGTATATGATGACTGCATTTGAAAAGCGGTTTGTAGGGCAGGCAGCACTAGCTGTTGCTCCTGGAGAAACTGGAAAGGTTTTCATCAGCTCAAACAGTCTGTGAGAAGAATCGCTCTGCCTGTCACTACTTGTTGCACCAGAGGCAGAAAAATGGGCACAAAAACGCAGCCAAGTGTACATGAGATGTTTGAAACTGTGCAGGTTGTTGTTTTCTGACACTGTGTATGATTCATGAGTGAATGAGTTATTTCCCATCATGCAGCACGAACATTTTCAGAGTGATCATCATGTAGCTTCCATGCAGTGTGGAAAGATGTACAGTATATATGATACTGACACACACTGGAAAAGTCATTAGGATACGTGGAAACTACTTTTTGCAAATGCAAACAAAGCTTAAAGGTAGATGGAAGGGTAAAGCCGGAGGTTAATCGTACTGTGAGTGGCTGTGCCGGCTGCTGGCTAGTGTTATGTTTCCTCTGATTGGTGGAGATGAATTGAAGCTCCTGGGAGCAGCTGTAATTATCTACAGTCTGTGAGAATATGGAGGCAGGGATGAAAACTGTCTTCAATTTGTACCGTAATAACAGAGAGCAGCACTGTGCGTATCAGATATCGTATATATGTACGTAATCGTAAGTAAATGAACTAATGAACCTCTGGTTTCAAATGCTGCTGGAAAACACACAGAGGTGAGTTTTATGTGCAGGAAGTCTCGTTTCTGAGGGTGATTTGATGGGAATCTTTCCAAGCACAGTTTCTAGGAAACCGTTATTGGTGTACATTTTTTTATATCTGCCATATGCTTTAGATTCTTCTTGCAGAGGTCAGTATTTATCTGGGGCTGAAAGCAGTTTCCTTTAGTCTGGTTTTTTCGGAGATCACAGATTGCAGCTTCACTTCGCTGCTGTCTAACAAGCCAACTCGGATGGAAAAATTTAGATATACAACGAGCAGCCACAACCCTTTTGTCAGCCTTGTTTCTATAAAGTTGGATCACGGTCTTCTTACTTGTAACTCCCAACAGCTCTTCGATTTCCGTCCAAACCTCCTCCTTTTTGAGGATATCCTCATAAAAATGGTTCTGTGGATCATAAAAGATGTACAGCTTCTCAACCTCATAAATTAGTTTCTTGTCATTTCTGGCAGAAAGCAAACTTCTCCCCTGTGCCCATGTTGACCGCTGACTAGTCTTGCAGAGCCAGAACGATCTCCACACTTCTTCATTGATAAAAGGTTTGAGGTGGAGCAAGTGTGTAAAAACGTCAAAAATAGACCCAGGGCGAGGTGTCTTTTAAATGTCGTCCAGCCTGTTCGCTGGAGCAGGTTAGGACGTCTTAATTCAGAGAAACTGAAACAATCTGATGTCTGATCGTTCACATTGCTTCCAGTTATGAAGACGACTGTGGACTAGGGCGGCCCCCAAATAAAGATACTCCAAG